CATCTCTGCTCATAGCCATCCGTGGGAGTCAGTCCCACTCAGTCCCAAATAAAGCAGGGCCAGGTATCACATATCGAACGCTAACGCACACACAGAAATACATATTAAGACACACACGCACTGTGAAGACACATACAAATCACAGCAGCGCTCACGTATCAGATTGAAACAACAGAAAGAGTACATTGTGTCTGTCTCTGCAAAAACATCAGCAGCCCTCACAGTCTCCCTCCACTCTTAAACTCTCCCTCGCTCCCACAGGCAGTCAGGGGAGACGGGGAGTTCAGCAAGGGGGAGAGATTGGGTTACCGTGACATAAATCTCCACGTCTCCTTCTCCTGTGTGTGCAGGAGTGGTGGGCAGCAGGGCTACGAGGCTCTTAGCACCAGTGTCTTTGGGAATGCCGGCATGTTCCCTGGAGGAGATAGAGGAGATAGGCCTGGCGCCTCCAGAGGAGTCCCTCACCCTCTCCCTCTCTGTCTCTCTCACCCTCTCTGCTTATCTCAGGGAAACCACAATAGGGTTTTGTACACTGGAGCAAGGCGAGAAGGCTTCAGATGGCAGCCGAGTATGATATACAGGAGGACAGAGAATCACTCCCACTGTTCCACACAATGATACGGTACAATGCAACACACCACACATCTCTAATAATGAAGCACAGCTCCATGTCCACCCGGCATATATTACATACACACCGCTTTTGCTGTTTGCACAGGCGAGATACAGTGTTTGTCGAGTCCATGTCAAATGTTTAAATAAAAGCATGAGTGATTCCACTTTTAGTTTCAACTCGAGCCGTTTTACGAGCAATGTTTTCACTTTTGAGGCAGTTAATGGTGTCTGGCAGTCTTCAGCTGGACTTTGAAATGCTTCCAAATATCTTTTTTGCCCACCATGTCTGGTTCAGGCTAGGCACATCACTGGCTCCAGTGCCATGCTGTTATTTCAGATAAATGGCTGCTGTTATTGTTAGCTGGATGGTACAAAGGGATGGGATCAGCCACAGGAGGGCCGGACCAGGTAGCAGCTAAGCTGTGGGGAATTAGATGTGGCTCAGTAAAGATCTGTCTGCTAATCACCTTCCTTACAAACAGCCTGTTTGCTGGTGCTCTGAGGAGTGTGGGACGTCAAAGTGGTGATGACACATACAGCACAGTGACGGGGTTTTGTCGGAACAGGAGTGAGTTTGTGTCAGTATCTGACACATTAACAGTGGCGCCCCTAAGGGGGGGACCAGGGGTGGCCATCACCAAGCTAGTGCGAAGGTAGTGGTATCTTGTGCGACTAGACAAACTAAGGCATCAATTAGTACATGAGGGGGCTACATAAGGAGGTGATCACACAGAAATGAGACGCTAGAGACGCGGACACTTCAAAGATGCTTGAAACGCTTATTCAATGGGCGCTAGCTAAGGGCGTCTGACACTCAAAAAAACTGAAAATATTTTAACTTTTCAGCATCTACGCACGTCTAAAAAGAAGCGTCTACAAAAACGCGCGTCTAAAAAGACACTTGAACGCCGGTCAGACACGCCGGATCATAGGAAGACAATGGTTTTACTGGCGTCACGTTTCTAGCGTTTCATCTCGGTGTGATCGCTCCCTAAGGCTTCGAATTTAGGCTACACTTTGGTGAGCGAACAACTGGCATAGCCATTTTCTAAGGGGTCCCTTGAACTCTTAGCTCAAGATATTTGAATCAAAATGGGTTCTTTGGGTACTCACGAGTCTCCCCTAAACTTGTGAAGGCTTGTCTCCAGTAAATGGGGCATCTGTGGCTCCATAGGTAGAGCAGGTCATCCACTAATCAGAAGATCAGTGGCTTGATCCCCGGCTCATCCAGTCTGCATGTTGTAGTATCCTTGAGCAAGATACTGAACCCCAAATTGCTCCCAATGGCTGCTCGATCGGTGTGTGAGTGTATTAGAAAAAAACACTCAAGGTGGCACCTTGTATGGTAGCCTCGGCCACCAGTGTATGAATGCGTGTGTGAATCGGTGACTCGGAGTGTAAAAAGCGCTTTGAGTGGTCGGATGACTAGAAAGGCGCTATACAAGTGTAGGTCCATTCCTTACAATCAAAGTACCCCTTCAAATTAAAGCACTATATTTGCCATTTATGGAAAGGACAATCAGCCTATTTGAAGAAAATTGAACTGCCTGACGTGTAGATACATAACAAATTAAACCAGGGTTGTTGTGGAATTCAAAATTTTAACTTCTCAAACTTTAACCAGTATTAATCTATGCACAGATAATAAGTAACACTAACTGTAAAATAAGAAACACAGATGTAGGCAACGTATGCAATTCCCGAACCCTATATACTAAAACAGCATATTAAAATTCCTGAAATTAAGTTACAGCTTTTGGTTTCTGTGTGCCACCCCAAGATTTTCAGTGGCCCCATCTGACCACCCCTATGAAAAATATCTGAGGGCACCACTGCACATTAATACAAGAAGTCAAGGCCGTCCCATTTCTGCAAAGAGCACTGCACGACACTGCACAACCCCAACCTGCAAAACAAATACGTTCAGCAAGGTTTCTACAGGACAATAAAAACTTTACGTGTCATTTATGTTTCAGGTTTCGTGTCGCAAAGGTCAAACGTTATCAATCTACGGAATACCGCCGGCCAATCACACTGAACTCACCATAAATCTCATCTGCTGGAAGCCTCACAACCTTGATGATTGCAGAGGCCAAAGGCTGTGCCCTTTCATGTATTTTCACAGGGCAGGTAAATTGGAGAGCCAGCAGCTGTAATAGGAAAAAGCCTCGAAGACACTTGAGTCCCCCCCTGACGAAGAGAATAGCAATTATTCTGGAAAATCAATTTTCAACCCAATCTTTCTCCCTTATCGACCAAGAGGCTCTTTGGAGGTAGAGAAGGTGACAGGAAAATTTATCTCCCAGATTCTATTAGTGGATCTCTATTTGCTATGTGCATTGAGGAGAGGCCCTTTGTTTTCGCCGACGTTTTGACTAGGCATAAACAGTGGAGCTGAGCACATTCAGCCGTGGTCACTGTATATGAAAATTGATTTTTTTTCTCCACTTTCCAGAGGCTCATTCATTTTCATTGATTTAATGCTTGTACCGACTCAGTTTGCCAATAGACAGTCCATTTGTTGGATGGTTTAAGAATAGAGAGAGTTAGCATGAAACTGGACACTTCTATTGCTGCCGCCGCTGAAATACACGCATATATTTAATACGTACTGTTCTCCATCCTCTCCTGAGTAGTTTGTATTAAATGAAATCTAAGCTGCTGCACTGTAGGTGCTGCTGTTGCCTCTCTGTATTTATTCTGCGTGTGCACGTGTGAGCACAACCACACGCACACAGTGTCATACCTCCTCATGATTATTCCCACAGTCTTATCAGTGTTTATTTTCCTACTGTGAAAAGCCTATTGCTCCGGCATTCTTTGCATGTCAGTCTCTGCCCAAGATTTATCGTTGTGTTTATCCCATTAATACGTCAAGCCATTATGTAAACTGGCTACGGAGTATTGCAGTGATCAGTTTGACTGGCTCTCCATCACTTAGGCTTGTCGTGTACATCTTATACTCTTTTGCATCAGTCCATCCGTCTTCCAGTGTTGTTCTTATACTGATTCAATGCAGTGTTTCTGTCCTACTCTTGTATAATATTTGTGTAAGTGTGAGCATTAAACAGTGTATATGAATGAGCGTGCATTCATTTGTGTGTGTGTGTGTGTGTGTGTGTGTGTGTGTGTGTGTGTTTTGACATCACATAGACGTAAATCAAAAGTGGCAGTACTCTGATATGGGCTAATAAAACTCCCTGATCTGGAAGCACTAAAGGCTCCTTCAGCATACACCCTGCAATGCAGCCCACTGGCAGTCTCGCTCTCTCTTTTGAACACACACACACACACACACACACACACACAGAAAGAGGGAGAGAGACTTCGCCCCAAGACTACTGTTGGGCCATTTTTTATGAGTAACCATAACTCCTGAAGAGGAAATTCATTACATGTTGTCTGTTACCCATATACACACATTCCTATGTACAAAACTACACACACAACTAGCACAAGGGGAGACGACAAAAACACACACATTGTCTTCCCCTCCATGTCTTCATATCCTGACGCAGCAATGAAAAAGGGGGATCGGAGGATTTACAGCGCTAATTCTGAGAAGTTGCATTTGCTTTTCGTTACCAGGGACCTCTGAGGGTTCAGAAGGCCCTGCCTCCCCCTCTCTACCTTCACTTTGTCTCCCCTCTGCACTCCCTCCTCCTCTCATCCATCCCTCAGTGGAGGATAAAAGTGTCCGGCAGTGTGTGTGTGTGTGTGTGTGTGTGTGTGTGTGTGTGTGTGTGTGTGTGTGAAAGGGGGGTATTTGGTGAGAGTACTGACTGTTGAAACAGATGCCGGTATGTGTGTGCCACCTATGTCAACATGGCCGGTCTCCGGACCCGATGCTGCTCGTAGATAGGATCCTGCCCACAGAGCCACAGAGTCTAGACTCCAGATGTGTTCACACACACACACACACACACACACACACACACACACACACACACACACACACACACACTAGGACCAACGCCAGTCCAAACCAATAATTCTACCAGATGACAGCCGTTTACTTACACACAGTTAGGTATGGATAATAATCCTTCTCTCCCCACTCTTGAAAGAGATACTCCTTGCAAAATTGCAGATTTTCTTGTTTATGACCAACAGAGGACATCTTCACTGTACAGTAAGTGGGAGTGGAGTGCAGAAACACCCTATCACGATGACATTTGGATGTAGTTAGGCGGTGAAATACCATCGGCCACCATGCTCACTTTCGAACAAATGCACTGAATCAATTTCCAGCATGAGTTTTTTCAAACAACACATGCACACACACACATACAGCACAACAGTTAATGCTTTTCCTGCATGCAACTTTATATGATTGTTTATAACTTTTGCTCAACATTTAAGTAGATATCAAATATGTTGTTTCATTGTATTATACATTTAAATTACCCACTGCTTCTCTCAAAACTGTACTGAAATAAACAGAAACATATGCTGGCCGCATATGTTCAACACCGCTTTATTTAGACTGTTCTATAGCGACACGACAACAAGAGTGTTTTTGTGAAAAAGACACATGGGTAAATTGCAACTGTTATACAAAACAAGACTCGGGGAAGAGGAAAAGTAAAGAGTGAAAATGTTCTGAGCACAGATGCACCCGCTCTCTTGCTATCTCCTGTGCTTGTGGGTATACTGCCGATCCAGCTATTCTTGTTGGTTTGTTAATTGTTTGTCACCCACCAGGTGCCATCTGTCTGTAGTCCCACAGTCCCCGAGCCATGTGGGCCGGCCTGCCTGGCGCCTGCCAACGTCACTGACCTGCAGCAACCGTCCACACCTCCGTCACACACCTCCTGATCCGTCTGGGATAAATAGCTTCTCCCTCAACTTCTGTGCCGCCATCACGGCTTCCCAATCTGTCCTGTGTTAGAGGGGGGAGGGAGTGGGGTGACAGGAAGAGACAGGAAGGGAGGGAGAAAGACAAATGAGAGGAAGGAATGAATAGATGGATGGATGGATGGATGGAGTGAGAAGGAACAACGGATAGAGATGGATGTCTGAAGAGATAAAAGGATGAGATATACAGTTACAGGCTTGTTTGTGTTTTCTGATGTGCTGGTTGTTGCAGAGAAGAGACAGTGTACATCCTGCAACAATAACCGTCATATTTGTGTCTATATGAAACTTGCATACTGTCAACGCAACACTTAAATGATGATCTTAATACTTCTGCACTTAATAAACCGACCTACAATCAAAACAACAACACATTACATCACCAGAAGTTAAGGTATTTTGGCACAGCATTGACGGCACCCACCACTTTAAGAGGCTCTCCAACAGGCAAGGGAGGTCACCTTCACCTGGGCCTGATGTTGGGGCAGCTGTGTGTTGAAAAATGAGATCAGCTGCTTGCTCACCGGGACGCATGCGGCAGTCTGGAACTACCCAGGGCCTAGTGCACTAGCTAGCATACGGTGGCCCCAGTACAATAAAGAGAGAGCGAACAGCCCCCTCTCTCCCAGCCTGTCTGTCTGCCTGCCTGCCTGCCTGCCTGCCTGCCATCCTGGGGCATGTTGGGTCACCTTGACGACTGGGCCCAGCGAGGGGAGCCGCACCCCACTTCGGGGCAAAGAAGGAGGCAGTATGGGTAATGAGGCGTTGCCATGCAAGTGGAACAGCTTTTGAATAACCCCATCCGCGCACACACACACACACACACACACACACACACACACACAGAGTGTATTCTACAGTACTTGTGTTTACAGAAGGGACAACAGCTTGTTGGAGAAACCTCTCAGGAGCTCTTAGTCCAGGAAGGAGGAGATTCATGGGCATCATGGTGGAGGTCAGTAAGTCATGTTGTGAAGTGTTCACGCACAGATAGCTTCAATAAAAAGAAATAGAATTACCGCCTCACAGTTGTATGCCTACGCGATTCAGTCGTGCTGCAGGCACAGTTCACATCCATGTCTGTGCAGAGTCATATGTGGCTATGACAGTGCTTTCCATATGGATGTTGCTGCAAAGAAGTTTTGTATTCTAAAACATGGATGCTCCACACACATTCAACCACAGAGCACAGAAGATCTACACAGTCAGCACAGTCTCAAGGTGGACACCCAAACGCCTCAAACGCCCCAAATGTCTCTCTCCCCTTCTGTTCCTGAGATATGGTGTTTAATAATGGCCTGAAAAGTGTTTTTGCAGAACATTATGATGTCAGAGTGAAGCTGGCCTTAGACATTTGGATATAAAAAGTCATCACTTCATCAATTTATTCTATCCGATACTTACATGAAATTTTGTCATGATTAGCATATGAATTTTTGAGTTATGGCCAAAAACATGCTTTGTAAGGTCACAGTGACCTTTAAACTGTGACTACCAAAATCCAATCAGTTCATCCTTGGGTCCAAGTGGACTGATGGATGTTTGTGCCAAATTAGACGAATTTTCCTCAAGGCCTTCTTGAGATATCGCATTTATGAGAATTAGACAACCATGACCTTTGACCTGTCACCTCCAAATTCTAATCAGTTAATTGTTAAGTCCAGGTGGATGCTTGAGCCAAATTTGAGGCAATTCCCTTAAGGTGTCCTATTGATATCACTTTCATGAGAATGAGACAGACAGGCTCACCTTGACCTTTGACCACCAAATTCTAATCAGTTCATCCTTGAGTTCAAATGGATGTATGTGCCAAATTTAAAGAAATTACCTCAATTTGTTCTTTAGGTATCACATTCATGAGAATGCGACGTACGAAGTCACAGTGACCTTGACCTTTCACCACCAAATTCTAAATGGTTCATCGTTGAGTCCAAGTGGATGTTTGTGCCAAATCTGAGGAAACGCCCTCAAGGTGTTCTTTAGGTATCACATTCATGAGATGACAAACGAGGTCACAGTAACCATGATCTTTGACATCCAAATTCTAATCAGTTCATCCTTGAGTTCAAATGGATGTACAGTATATGCCAAATTTAAAGAAATTCTCTCAAGACATTCTTTAGATGTTGTATTTACGAGAATCAGACAAACATGATGTTACAGTGATCACCACTAAATTTGAATCCGTTCGTTAAGTCCAAGTGGATGTTTGTGCCAAATTAGACAAAATTTCCTCAAGACCTTCTCGAGATATCACATTCACAAAAATTAGATAAACATGAGGTTACAGCGACCTTGACCTTTCACCACCAAATTCTTATCAGTTCATCATTGAGTACAACGTGATGTTTGTGCCAAATTTGAGGAAATTCCCTCAAGGTGTTATTTAGATACTGCATTAATAAGAATGCGACAGATGAGGTCAAAGTAACCTTGACCTTTGACAAGTTCAAGTGGATGTTTGTCTGAAATCTCTTCAAGCCCTCTTGAGATATCACATTCAAGGGAATTAGACAAATGTGAGGTTACAGTGACCTTTGACCTTTCAACACCAAATTCTAATCAGTTCATCCTTCAGATCAAGTGGATGTTTGTGCCAAATTTGATGAAATTCCCTCAAGGTGTTCTTTAGATATCACATTCATGAGAATGAGACAGACAAGGTTACAGTGACCTTAACATTTGATCTTTGACCACCAAATTGCAATCAGTTTATCTTTGAGTCCAAGTGGACATTTGTGCCAAATTAGACAAAATCTCCTCAAGGTGTCCTTTAGATATAGCATTCATGAGGATGAGACAGACAAGGTTACAGTGACCTTGACATTTGACCACCAAATTCTAATCAGTCCATCCTTGAGTTCAAGTGGATATTTGTGCCAAATTTGAAGAAATTGCCTCCAGGCGTTTTTAAGCTAGCCTGTTAACAAGAATGGGACGGATGGATGGACAACCTGAAAACATACTGCTTCCACAGCCATACAAGTGCGGAGGCGTAAAGAAAATGAATGTGATGTTTGGTTTATATGTGAAGCATGCAATGATGCCACACCACTGCCAGTGAGTTTTAATGTTATATAACAACATTGAACGGGATTGGCTCCTACTATTCTTGTGTGATCCCCAAGCTGTCAGAATCAATTTTCCACATGTTGTATTTGCCCCCTGCTCTTCAGAATAAAAACCTTGTAGGGGTTAAAGGTATTGCTGATCTCTCCAAAAACCAAAAACCCAGTGGATGTCGATGTTTAGATGAGAGCCAATACATTTAGCTGAGAAAATAGTGTAAATCAGCCACCCATGAAATGTTCATTTGAAAAGAAGAAAAAAAAAAGATTTTCCAGTCCAAGTACGCCTAGTTATAATGATTGTCTGAGATGAGGTTTAATCATTCTGCATCTTGGTCTCATAAAGAGAGGGAAGGTACAGTATTCCCTCATGTTGACTCAACGTTAAACATTCACTAATAGCCTACCAAACTGTGCGGCATCCCATGAAGCCACTGGAATCCTGGGACCGCCTGTACCAGATCCTGTGGGAATTTTTTGACCACCTCCACTCGCACAGACACACAATCACAAGTAATGGACACTTGTAATCACAAACACACACGTACCAATCAATAGCAGATGTAGATACAGTTGAAAGACAAAGTTTGAGAGGTGGGACATGCCTTTTGTCAGTAGCAGTGGAGACTGTGACACAGAGACGAACCTTAAACTGCTCCATGAAAAGAACAGCGACTAGAAAAATGTTCCCTTAAGTAAAAAATGAAAAACTGAAGGTTGCTGACCACATAGAGACGCAAATGCTCAAGTTTGTTTTTCATTAGCTTGGCTTGTTTGAAAGGAATAAACCTCCACACACAGTTCTGCCTGGAATCCATGTCTTATGGTAACATAATCCAAAGTGGCTGCAGCGCATAGGCTTCGTTCCAACATCTGAACACTGCGTATGGGTCATCAAATGTGTTTTTATTTATCCCAAAGTGTTCTTCAGTGTATAAGTTTACAGTGCTCGAGTGGTGAATGCATTAAACATGAAACGACTTGTGAACTTTAGTGCCTTATCTCCTGTAGAAATCCTAAAAGGTTCCACTTCATTATTCAGCTAGTCCTTCTGTTTGCAATTGGAAACAGCCCTTTACAAATATAAATTGTTCAAAATCTTGGAAACCACACTGAAATTCCACAAAGGCATGACCATATCGGTATTAAGCTATAAAGCCATATTGTAGAAAAATGGCCCGCAAAAAAAAGTTGTTTTTTTCGAAATGTTGTGAAGATGATGTATAATTCCAGGACGTGTGTTCTTTTTTTTTATTACAGATCTTTTTCTTCTTCACGTCTGTCCTCTCTGAATACTAATAGCCCATCTCCTGCAAGCTTTGCTACAGATGCTGGCAGGTCTAGCCTGAAATGATTATCAGAGCCAGATCCCACTGGCCAGCTTTCCAGTAACACTCCTACATGGAGATGGAACCAGAGCTGGGGCTGAGGCTGAGACTGGGGCTGGAGCTGGCGCTGGGCTGCCAGGGGACAGACGCCAACAGGCCCAAGAAATTAATACCAGCACTGGGGCCTCACCGAGGTCCAGCATCCAGCTCCAGCTGGAGCAGAGGAGACAAAATGGATGACTGGCAATGATGTCACGAGACAAGGTGGCTCGGGGGGTCCTGAGCCACTGCTAGCGGTGCCTCACCTGGAACTGACAGCGGGGAATCATTGGTTCCCATTGATGAGCAAAACCCCAAAATGGAAGCATAACTTTGCTTTGCTGAGAATTTGACTGCCAACTTCAGATAGATTGGAATTTTCGGCACGGTGAAATATGTTTAAAAGGGGACTTACACGAAACATAATCAGTCCATGTAATTTTCAATCAGCCTTTTCCTCCAGTTAATCAGATTTCATTCAAACATGTCTTATTTTAAATATTATTACCCTGCAATCTCTGTCACAACATCTGGGGTCCCTGCATATGACATCTAGAGAGGACAGACTTAACCCACATGTTGGAAGTACC